TAAATTGCAGCCTCACAAACTGCTGTGCCGGGCTTTGCTCAGGGAGATGGGTCGGGTTCACTATCAAATATCTTCCTTTTTTACCTTTTTTCTTCTATAGCAACCGGGTCTATTGGTACTATTGGATCAGTCCAACCTCCAATGGTGGCCCACAATCGGATTGTTACAAAATCCTTAATAGTCAATGGTATTACTCTTTAGATGTGCTTAAAAAATCATTTCGCGGAATATTATTTGCTTGTTTTTCAGAGCGCATAGAAATTTTATTGTTTTAAAACTTAATAAAATTCTTGGGAAAAAAGTCTTCGGGCAGTTAAATAATTAAAAAAGTACTAAAGATATAGCTTCAATTTATTGACTCTCACAAGCGGCTTTGAACTTAAAGCGTACAACTGGATCCTCAAACAACGATTTTGGGGTGGTGGTTGTAATCAGGACTTATACGGCCATTCATAAATTATTATGACAAAGCCCAAAGCCAGTACCGCTAGTTTATTGAAATACAGAGCAGGTATACAGATAGATGGACGGACGGGTGCTCCAAGTGGAGAACTATATTCCGCCATTTTCTGGTGCGCTGTACGAGCACTCTACCACAGAAATCGTACTACTATAACCTATAGTACTAGGTTATAGTAGTACGTTTTCTGTGACTCTACCGATAACCGGCACCCGTACGTACGTTTATAGTGCGGCTAGTAGCGAACCGTCCGCGCGCACGTAAGTATTGGCCGAACTGGAGATACGAATTGTGGATTTATAGGCAAGCACTGTTGATGCGTGCCGATGCGATACTCCATCGTGTGGATTAACGTTCGCACTAGTGACTACTACGACTATCCGCTGTATTATTCTAATGATTAGACCAATTCGGAAAATGTGGTTCGGATTCCACTATAAACGGTGGGTTCTTTAGTTGCCATTGGCTATATGGGCTATTAATTATCAGCTGTGTCTTAAGGAACGTGTCGGCCTTAGTCACTAACAAGACTACAAGATCGCGCCCTCATCCTTACACTCATCTCCATTCTTACTTGGCTTAAATTACTTAAATTCGTATGGTTGCCATTTCAGAAAAAAATATCTAAACAGTACACTCGTTTTTAAAATACAATTTTATTTAATTAAATTAAAAAACCTAACAAGATACATTTAATTCCACTGTCAATTTATTCAACTCACATTGTGTAACTCAAGTTGTTCGCGGCCGAAATTTTGAGTCGACTTTGCCAGGGGGTAAAATTTCAGGGCGATAAAATTCCGCTACCCCAAATTATACATAAAGCATATAAGCATAATACCCCCGCCGCAGCATACCTGCCGACTAAGCGAATTTCCATTTGTCTGAACTGATTTTCAATTTAAATCTATTTAAATAACATTAGGTTTAACAAGTACCTCTAGGTTTGCTGCTACAAGAAAACTAATTAAGCGAGTTTTTTAGTAAAATATTAATAGCTTAGTATAAAATAAATAAATTGGCCAAGTTTAATCCAAATATATCAATAAACAAGCAAACTACATCATTTTACAATATTCTCCATAAGAATAACATGGGAATTTTAAATTTACAATTTTTGGAATTTTCTCCGTTACCAATAACCGTACAAAAACACTTTGATATACTAAATTATTTGCTTTTTTAAGCTCTTTAACAAGGTCTAGAGAGAAATTGAGAAATTTTGTGTTTTGAGGGTCAAAAATGAGAAAAACCATTTTTTACCCCATAAAAGTCCCCGTAAAACACTGTTCCCATGGTCCGATCTTGCTGGTTCGCGAACTCATTCGAGTTTATACCGCCTTAGACCTTAAAACCAAATTTCATCAAAATCGGACAAAAATTACTCAAGTTATCGCGTTCATATATATATATATATATATATACATATATAAAAATTTGAACGAATAGTGTTTTTGGCCTCTGGGGACATCAAAATGAAAAAGTAAATCGGTCCCGGGCCTAGGTCTTACCGTGCCACCTACGGTAATAGCTACTTCCCTATAGGGAAATTCGCTAAAAGCAATAGTGTTAATGCCTTCAAAGCTATTTTTAAATCTTACAAAACATACTTGCAAAACAAACTACTGTACAGCATTTAATCATTCTGAAATGCAAAGGGGAATTTTAACTGTCACACATTCAGAAGCCGCCAACCTTCTAAAATAATAAAATATAATTTAAATCGTAGTCAATGCAACATTAGCGTGCTATTATCGTTTAGTGGTAAAAAATGTAATTTTCATTAAGTTACGCCGGGAGAATATGCAGTTATTCTACACTTAAACTAGACCGATAAACGTGAAACAAACCCAATTTGTCTTTCTAATAGGCTAACTACGAATACATAATACAGTGCCTTTCTTACGTATAAATTAACAAATAACTTTATTTTCAAAATGACTCGCTATTTTTTTACTTTTAAGTGGTATATTCAGTGAGGCGGGACTAGTGGGATTTACTCGCATGGACCCAACCATTGGATTGTTATCTACCCTTGTTATCAGGGCATTCCTGGCACACAGGATAATATGTAAGGCATGCAGGATTTTACCCCGAAAAGGGTTTTCTAATTTTTGACCCTCAAAACACAATAATTTAGTATATAAAGTGGTTTTGAACTTGTACGTTTATTGGTTACGGAGAAAATTCAAACAAATTTTAATTTGGAATTTCCATGTTATTCTTATGGATTGTAAACTGTTGTAATTTGCTTGTTTATGGATATATTTTTTATCAAACTTGGCAAGTTTTATTTTATTTTATACTAAGCTATTAATATTTTACTACAAATTATATATTATATTAACACACTATATTAGCTTCCCTGAAGCAGCAAACCTATGTGCTCGTTAAACCTATAATGTTATTTAAATATATCTCATTGAAAATCAAATCAGGATAATGGAAATTCGCTTGGTCTGCAGGTTTGCTGCAGCGGGAGTATTTAACATGCATGCTATACTATAGGCTATAGTAAAATACGTACAAAAAACGGAAACCATACAATAACATCGAGCTTTATACGAACAGAAAACATGACAGTCATAAATAACTGCTCCCTTCAACTATAATGGCTACGTAACAACAGGTAACACTATACTGGGGGCCCTATTTTTGAAATGGTTGACAGTTGAGTCAATCGTAAACACTCAACTCAACTAACAGCAGTATTTGGTATTTTTAAAATCCAACTGTTGAGAGTTGAGTGACTCGTTTGGAAATGAAAGCTGGGCAACACATCCAAAATTTGCGGGCTTTCTCTCGTAGCTTGAAATCGATGAGTCGAGTCCTAGCCATTGATTTTTACTCAGTTAAAGCTTACTAAATTTGCAACAACTTTGGTTCTATACATTATCAGTGAAAAACGCATAGTTTAATGGACATCAGTGCTCAAAAAGATATAATGTTCAGAACAAAATTTTCACCTCACAATTTTTGTTAAAATTTATTTTATCCTTACCTGTTATTTTCTCAGAAATGTTGACTCACAGGAAGTTGTAGATAGTTAAATTTACTTCAATAATATATACACATATGTGAATATATATTATGATGTAGGTAAAACGTTACAGCGTTTTTTTCCTGAAAAAAATCCCGATTTACTCAAATAATTGCAAGGTCACATATATATTGTGTATATATTATTGAAGTAAATTTAATTATCTTCAACTTTCTTCAAGTCAATATATCTGAGAAAATAACAAGTAAAAGGAGAAAAAAAATGAACAAAAATTGTTATATTTACCCTACAATTTTTTCTGAATATTATATCTTTTTGAGCGCGGATATCTATTAATCTATGTGTTTTTCACTGATAATGTGCAGAACCAAAGTTGTTGCAAATTTAATAAGCTTTAACTTTAACTTTTAGTATAAAATAATGTAAGCTAGAACGCGCCGTTTTCAAAGTATGAGCGAAAACCCGCAAATTGGGGCGTTTAGCTCAATAGGCGGTGAGTAGTTTTGGTTGGATAAGTCAACTGCCAGTCGTTTGTCGTTCGAAAAATTCGAAACGATTGGATCGTATCCATTATGTTCAAGAATCATGATCTTCTATTTTCCGTCACTGAAAGGGGTGCGATTTGATTTCAAGTCCCTGTAACAACGTACGGGCTTATCCCGTTTGTAAGATCAGTGGTGGCAAGGGCGTCGAAGCATGTCCAAACATATAACTCAGTAGAGAGTATAATAGGCCAATTAGCTGCTGTTTGGGCCAAGGGAGGGTGTGACAAAAAGTGTTCTAACAACCTAATCCCCGGCACGGGCGGCCCCCCGCTACGACCCTAAGTTTTTGTGTGCCCAGGGGTAGCAAGTGGTTTGGAAGGGTAGGCCATTGTAAAAAATAGCTGATTTACGCTATGATTCTCTTGGACAGAACAAATTTATTCACCTCACATTTCGGTTATAAGTTTGATGATGTGAACCGACTTTTGAAAGTTTCGTCTTGCTTTTTGAAAAGGCTGTTTAAATCACGACATAAATTCAGAGAATTCTTATTCATTTTCTCTTTTAGACTCTCCTTAAAGACATTCCTAAGATAATAATAGATGATATGAAGAGCACTGATAATGTTTGATAACGTTATCATTGATGTATTCGATAATACTACATTACTATATTCTACGTCTTATCCAACTGAGAAATTATTCAAATTCTGAGGATGAAAAATTAAATGGGAAAATGCTAAACTATTGTCATTTTAAGTTTGACGTTGACTCTTGGTGTGATTAATTAGTTACGTTCGAAAACCCGTCATTGTATTACTAACTGATCCACGTACAGTACTTATAATTAGGCATTGAATATTCATTATACATTTCCTAACTGTAATTACAATAATACAAAATTGGCAGTTCTAATCTACTGCTTTTATTTTTTTCACTCAAAACCTAAAAAATCATAAAAAGATAGATTGCGCATGCGCCGACTCGGATCAAGATAGTTCCGGTCTAAGCATCCCTTCTTTTACTTTTTCCCTCCATTTTGGTTACTCGGTTAGCCTTCACGCTAAATGTGCCAACGGATTTTTAACGTTTATAATTAACGTTTATTCACGTTTCTTTTGAAGTTTTACTTTTTGTTTTAGTTATTGTTTTGCCATATGTCTCTGCCTATTGATAGGCAACTCATAATATATGCAACAACTTGTACTCACAACTAATGAAGTAGGTTAGCCTACTCGTGTGTCAATTTTCAACCGGTCTTTAAACGGCGGGTTATTTATTGAGAATACTGAATGTTTTATTGATTTCTTTAAAGACCAACATTGTGTTAATTTTAATCAGTGTAAAGTGAGTAGTTTCCCCGAACGGCCTACATAACTTGAATTTGAATACCGGACCGACTCTCGGGTCAACGGACCTAGCCATGTCTGGTAGAAATAGCGATAACGAGTTCAATTTAGTGTTGGACTATGAATACGAAGCAAATTATGGCCCTAATGATTATGAATCTTCTGATGAACCGGTTAGATCATACGATACAACGAATTCCTACGAATCTTCGGAAATTCCGACGTACTCTGACGAACCGGAGCCCTATGAATCTTCCGAAATTCCGACGTACTCTGACGAACCGGAGCCCTATGAATCTTCCGACGAATCGGTGAAATCTCATGATTCAATGGAATCATTGACGGCATTTTTTTCAACTCCCATGGACGAAACTGAGTACAGCTTTATGCGTAAGTAATTTCATCAATACTAATCTCAACTAGGCCCTACGCCATGCCTAGGCCTATTTTGTATTTAGGCCTAATTGTTATCTCTTCACCCCTACTGCCCTTAATACTGGGGATGTCGTCATCTAGGCCTATGTGGTTTTGGGTTCAATGACCCCAGTTCAGGTTAGGTTGGGTATTTGATTTTGGGATTCTATTTTCAAGGTCAATTATATTAGCATTTTTATTACAGACATTCCCCGACTTAAGGGTAGGGTACACTTCCATATCTGTTGGCACAAACAACCGAATGAGTAATATTGATTATTCAATTGTTTAATTCGGTATATCGTTTGGTTAGTTAGGTTAGGTTAACCTTACCTAACTGACCAAACGATAGAATATTGGATAATTGATATAGGCCTATTGATCGATATTACTCGTACGGTTGTTTGTGCCAACAGATATGGAAGTGTACCCCGACTGAATTCTAAATATGGGCTACTAGAGTAATAATAAATCCTAATAGAGCTAGGGCCTAGTTAACATTTTCATGTTGAATAAGCTAGCCTAGGCCTAAATTATGATTATTTCAAATTGCATTTTATAGGCCCAGGCTATAGCCTTAACACGCTTTGATAAACCTGCAATACTGTCCAGGGGTTGTCAATTTTTTTTTTAACAGTCTTATAACTAACCGTAAGGTACTATTGTCGGACCACGTAAGTTTGCAGTTAAGGGAGGAGCCTATTTACCATATGGTTTTGAATGAACCAATAAGAACCGTGCGGTGTTGCCAAATCTAATAAGTTAATACCAGCTGGATTTGAAAATATTGCTTAGTATATTTTAATATTAGTGTTGTCTACGGGCAATGTGGTAACGTCGCACTAGCCTTGTCTTGTGATTGGCTGCCACCAACTGCAAACTTATGTGGTCCCGACTATAAACTTAGACCAAGTAAAAATATTAAGTTTAAAATGAACACGTCTTAGGTCCATTGAGATAAGGGTAATCCTAGTATTAGGCTACCTTATGGGCCGAAGTTACATTTTCAGTTATTACCTATAGCCTAGTACAACTTACACCTAAATGTATGTTTTCTAGACTTAAGTTGCTACTCATGCAAAAAAGGTGGCAAACATAAACTTAATCTAGATAAAAATTGAGATCATTAACTTTTATCGCAAAGGCCTATAAAAGTGTTAATTCATTGCTATGACGTTACAAAATTAAGTGAAGTAAAAATTAGTATAGGCCTAACTTAAAACTTATTGTACACCTATTTATGATAATAACTTAACTTAAGTTATTCCGTTCAGACTCTGTGAAGTTTTAAACTTGACCTATAAAACTATATACCCTAAGTTGAGTCAACTATCATATTATTTAGGTTTCTTATTAAGTTATTGACGGTAGCCTAAATACTCTTTTTACTAGTAGAAACTTAGGCCTACCGTGCAATTAGATCTAAACCACGACATCCAAAGTGAAAGCTAACTTTTGACTAGCAACTGAAGTTAGCCCACAAATGGTAAAAATTACATTCGCCTATTGGGTCTGATGATGATTGGAGTGTCCAATCGAAATCGATCACCACTTACCATCTTTTTTGTATATTTACCATCTTGTGAGTAACAGTATAAGCGTAAATATATGTTTTAAGTGTTATAAGACGTTTCTTTTATTTACTTTCCGTAAATGGTAAAAATAATACCACTCTGGGCATCGGGTTTGGAGGAGAGGTGTTTAAAGTTGAAAAATAGGTAGTTTTTTTGGTTCTCAATCAATAACTTCTTGATCAGCATCGTAGGGACATGTTAAGTTATCAAATTACCTGAAAAAACAAAAATATATATGTCTAATAACACTAGGAATAATATATTTACACTTATATATACTGTTGACTCACAAGACGGTAAATACATGTGAAAGATTGTAACTGGTGATCGATTTCAATTGAACGATCCAATCATTATCATGCCCAATAGGCGAATTTTCGATTACCACTCACCATCTTTCAAATGTATTTACCGTCTTGTGAGTCAACAGTATAACTTAAATAAGTGCAAATATATTACTATTACTAGTGTATTTAGACTATATCTTTTTGTTTTTTTTTTAAGTTCTCATTAAGTATCTTCATTACCATGTGCCTTTGTGAAACACATTATTTACAAAAAGTACCATAGGCCTATGTACGATAAATTTCAAGTGAGAATGGTCCTCTTCATAACGATGTTAATGAGAATGGTTGCAGAGTACAAAAGCTTAAAAATGAACATTTTTTGGCCACTTCTAACACTTAAAAGTCCTGGAAACTGCAACATAAAAAAGTATTAAAGATGGATGGAACAAAACTATCAAACTTTGAACAAAGTCACTGGGCATCAACATAATTTTATACATTATTTATAAACAACTCCACACACAACAACAACTCTATTGTTTATGCTTTAGTGATAACTTACGCTACCTTCTCAGGGGGACGGCCCGCTAGGAGTCAGAAAAAAACCTTTAAGGTAGGCTTAGATTGATAGATTGTTGACCAACAACAACAATCAACCAAGTCAAAAATGGCAGTCTTTGAAAGATTTCTTACTCCTAGCGGGTCGTCCCCCATTAAAAGGTAGTGTCATCTCTAAATAGGCCTAATGAATTTAAATTATTTTTATGTCCAGTGACTTTGTTCCAAGTTTTGAAGCTTTATCGTAATTATTTTTGGAAATATTTAGATTCCTCTGGGACTTTAAAAGCGTTAGATAAATGTCAATTTTTAAGCTTTTGTAACTCTTAAACAAGAGTATGAAGAGGACTATTCTTGCTACAAATTTATAGTAGATCATTTTTGTAAACAACGTGTTTTGTGCTAAATTATGGTAATCGAGATATTTAATAAAAATAAAAAAAGCAACCTATTTTTCATCTTAAATCCTCCCTTACCCCTAAAACCCGAGATTCAGAGTGGTGTTACTATTTACCATACAATACGGAGACTAGCCTATAGTGAACATTTCGGAGTCAAAAGTTAGCTTTCACTTCAGATGTCGAGGTTAGGCAGTTTTTTTCCTTATTGCACCATACTATAGGCCTAGTCTGGACATTAATAGAACACATGATGGGATGCTGGAGGATTTTAAAAATTTGGACACCATTAACTATTCAACTTGTTATCCACATTCAATTTTGATCTAGGCCAACTTATAGTTTAGATACGTGCTCAATGTTAATTTTGTTTTATTTGTCTAGTATGTTGAAAGCAAAACTGTCAAAGTCAAAAACTATAAACACGAGGGTTTTCAGTAGGCCTAAATTAAAGTTTTCATCAACCTTCCTGCCACGACTTGGCAGGCTCAAATCTGATACCAAGGCTATGTTACTTCATCGACTATGGTACTTTTTTAGTCGGTTCCACCACTTTGATTAGATTCACCATAGTGGCCAAAAACGGTGCAAAATAAAATTAACGTTCCCGCTAAGAATGAATCTATTCACGTTCTGTAAATCTGTATCAAAAAATGTAAAGTGATCTGAGAACACAACGCATATCATAGACAACCATTAAATGTAGGTTAGTCCATACCCTCCCCGCCTGAGTAAGTGTAGAAACATACAGACAGCGTAGCGTAGCCGAGCACATAGTTCAATACACACAGAGAGTGCAGCGTAGCGTAGCGCATAGGTTGTAGACGGTCTTAATAAGGTAGGCCTACATCAGTATACTTAGAGGATGGCTCTGTCGAATACGGCTAATATTAGTATTGTCGAAAATACCTTAGGTGGCAGTTTTTGATCAGTAGGAGAAGTGTCGGGTTGCATTAAGTGTGTAAAGGAAGGGACAAACATGGTGAACATCACCACTTATTTCCAATCCTTAGGAAACACTTTAATACTTTTCAATGAAATAGCGACCATACAAAGTAGGTATTTTAAGCCAAGTATGAATGGAGATGAGTGTAGGATGAGTGGCGCGATCTTGTAGTCTTGTTAGTCACTAAGGCCGACTTATTCCTTAGACACAGCTGTTAATTAATATCCCATACATTTAATGGCAACTAAGGGACCTACAGTTTAAAGTGGAATCCGAACCACATTTTTTCCTTGGTATATACAAATTGGTCTAATTTTCAGGATAACTGCGGATAGTTGTAGTACTCACTTGTGCGGACGGTAATCCACACCAGGGAGTATCGCATCCAAAGTGCATGCCTATAAATATCCACAATTCGTAACCTCCTAGAAGCTGGATTACAAGACGACGCCACCCGTCCCAGTTTAAGTCTCGATTTAAGGATGATACGAGAATGTCGACTACAACATTCGATTACATAATTAGTTTGGTGAAGGATGATTGGGAGAAGCTGACAACTAATTGGAGGAGACCAATTGGTGCAGAAAAGAAACTAGTAGCCTATTAACTATTAGGCGAATGCGCTCCAATATGCTCTGAGAAAAACAAAATAGTTTGTTCCTCGGTCGTACGCTACGCTGAAATACACTACTAGTTAATCATACTTTATTTCAATGCACAGTTTTGATTTAAAACATGCGCTGCGCTACGCTGTATCTATGTTTTTAAACTAAAGCCAAATTAAAAAATAACCAAGCTGCAAAGCATAGCCTAAGTTTAAATTTTTAAAACAGCTCAATTCATTTAGGCCTACAATAAATCCATGTGATCGATTTATAATAATGATCACACAGTGACCTGTGGGTAAGTAAAAAACCTTATGAATAGATTTTATGGATAAAATAAAAATAAAATTAAGAATATGATTCCTTAAAAAATGCTCTATTAGAAAAAAATCCACTCCTTTTTTATTAAGAAATATTTAAAGTTCATATCTTTTAAACGACACCCTTATGACATTAGGATTACTAATTGAAAAAATGATCATAAAAAATATCTTTTGGTTTCAAAGAGGCTTAGACCATTCTAATTTTTTAATTTAAACTACCAAAAATTGGCTACCGGTAACCTTTTAAAGAATGTCAAGGACTTAAAAAAAATCATTAACAAATTATTTATAAAACAACAGTTATTCCAAAAAGATTGAATAGCCTAATTAATAGCTGTAAAAACATAATATTTAGTTACAGGCCAGTCGCACCCTGACAGCTTGTCCTTCATTGGGTATGACCTGTTCCGGATGCATTTCACGACGTCCAAGTGATAGGCCTATAAGTCAGTTTTACGATATCCAAAATATATTTTTGAGCTGTTTTACATTGTCCAATATAAAATATTTGACTGTTGCATTACGTCTAAAACTCACCAAGTCCAAAAAAACAATAACTGCAATAAACATAGTCTTTCTACAAGCTTAAGACGTCATGGGATGGTCGTTGTTAAACAGCACACTTAACACTCTTAAAAAAGTAGCAGTTGCACCACGTTTAAAGCTGCTGCCAGTTGCACCACATCCAATAGCTCAGCGCTGTCCCACGTAATCCAGAGCGCCTGCACACTTTGATTATTGTTTCACCGTCTTTAGTGCATACTAACCTAACCTAACTTAACCCAACCCAACCTAACCTCGCTCGGTACTTTCCTGTTAAAGGGAACATTTATTATTATTCATGACTTCTTTTAGATATATCGATATTTTATTTTTTATTTGATGTATTGATATAAAAAAATTGAAACTTATTAGCTGACAACCACGTTGAATAAATTGTTCAGTAATCAGTATCAACAAACAATACAAAATTATATTGAAATGAAACTGTTCTAAACTAACCTAACTAACCAAACTTGCTGTAGTAATATTTCAAAATTCCGTTTGGTAGCATATTTCCCATGTGCCTTTTCTGTTATTAAACAGGATTTAGAAACGGTAACTTAGCCTACAGCAAGTTTGGTTGGTTATATTAGGGTAGTTTGGAATAGTTTAATTTCTTAATCCAATATATGGCTATGATTTTTGCCTAAACAAGATTAGTTCCTAATCCTATTCTCTAATGCGAGCTATAACTCAATAACTTGGTTATTGAACCAAGTATAGCTTAGACATATTTGCTATGTCTGTATGTAATGTAAATGTGTTCGAAGATATTAAAACAGATGGAATATGGATAGTAAAGGAAAACAAAAAGATCGATATATCGAAAAGAAATCATCGATAATAATGAATGTTCCCCTTAACTGGAAAGTACCCCTCGCTCTGTATGCAGGAGCTCTGGATGTCGTGCAACTGAAAGCGGATTTGGACGTTGTGCTATTGCTAAGATTTAAGAGTATAAAGTGCGCTGTTGCACGACGACCAATTCCATGATGTCCAAAGCTTGTAGAAAGACTATGTTTTTACAGTTATTGTACTTTTGGACCTGATGAGATTTGGTCGTCGTGTAACAGTCGAATAGTTTATATTGGACGTCGTGAGACAGCTCTAAAATTATATTTTGGATGTCGTGACACTGACTTATATCATTGGACATCATCCAACACTCCCCCTGTTCTGACAACCTAATAACTTAAATTTATAAGCTATTAATTTTTTTCATAATTTTGAACTTGATATGCTATTGTTTTTGATAGGAAATTTTAAAGGCTAAATAAAATTGTTCTTGACATTTGTTCGTATAAAAGCAGTCCATTAATATTAGTAATGTTAGTTGCTGCCATTTTGAAATCAACAAAATGTTTATTGCTACCTCATATGGTATACCTAATTTTTAAAGATGTCATCTATAGTTTTAAAGATACAGTAGACTCTCGCTCATCCGGATCGGCCTTGTCCGGACTCCCGGTAATCCGGATCGGCAATCGTGATTTTTTTTAGTGGCACAGTACAGTAGAAGTCCGATTATCCAAGCGGAACGGGACCAAGACTACCTAGATTAATGAAAAAAATCGGATAACACGGCGGTAAAAATTATTACCGGTGGAAGTGCATATGCCCGGGCTATCATTACTGTGGACCTGTAACAAAATTCGGATGAAAAAATTATACCGGTGGAAGTGCATAAAATGCCCGGGCTATCATTACTGTGAACCTGGAACAAAATTCGACCGAAACCATTATTACCGGTGGAAGTGCATATGCCCGGGCTATCATTACTGTGGACCTGGAACAAAATTCGGCCGAAAAGATTATTACCGGTGGAAGTGCATATGCCCCGGGCTATCATTACTGTGGACCTAGAATAAAATTCAGCCGTAAAGATTATTACCGTTGGAAGTGCATATGCCCGGCTATCATTACTGTGGACCTGGAATTAAATTGAAAAAACGGCTATATACAGTACTGTGTATTTATTCGACTCTCGATAGTCTGGATTTTTCGCAATCCGGACCAGACGTCAGCCACATTAGTCCGGATGAGCAAGAGTTTACTGTATAGAAACAAAATCAAAATGGCGGAAATTTCCCTAACAAATTGTGTTTTGAAGAGTCTTAGGTGTCGTAGTAGGCTACTTAGGTCTTCGCACGGGACACCCTGTCCCATATACGGATAACAGAGAATAGTTTTATTATAACTAAATAGACATCTCAATAAATAAGTTAAAAGATGTGAATTTACTAAAGCTGTCTGGGTGTATTTTCAGCATACTTACTAACAGTTGAACAGCAAAAATAAGAACTTACAGATAACAATTGATTGCACTTGCAAGTAATAGATTACTTGAGAAATATTCAGACTTTTTAGCCTGAAAATACATTTGAAAACTTTTTAAATTACAATGGTCTGTGAAGGGCGGCCTTTTCTCAAAACTTGCATCAAAATAACGGGTTGTCTTTCTATTGAGAAATGTTGCTGCAGTTGCCCTGCCTCTTAGTTGATCATTTTAATGACTATGCCAACGGTGCTGCTGAAGCTGACACAGAGGGAATTGCTTGCATAGGTTGCACCATTGGGGAGGTTGGTTTTCAGCATGATAAATTAAAATACCTTAGTTTCCAGTTTGTAGAGTTTTAGGTCTGTTTTAGGTTGAACTGTCTTGCTGAGAATACGACTGTCAAAATGTTGTTTTTTCTTGCTTGTGTTCTTTATTATAAGAATTGAGGTTGGAAGAGAAATTACTCAACATAATTAGGGGGGTGCACTGTGCACATCTACCTCATCTAGTAGTCCATGTTTGCTAACTGAGATCCATGTTGTAGGTGGAGCCGAAGCTTCGATCAAAACAACCAACACAGATCATATTGTAAAATCACCTTTACATGTGCCGTTAGACGACACGGAAATGATCCCAGTACCAGCGACTGACCAACCTGTAGCGGCATTACCTCCATCCACCGAAGAACAGGTATATTGCATAAGAATCACATTTAAAAAGGCATTTATCAGCTATCCAATAATCAGCCATAGAAAACCAGTTCACACAACCACTAATGTATTACTTTTTGAGTTTAGTTTAAACATAATAATTTACGGTACAATTTTATTCTGGTAAATCAAATCTAACTCCATAGGCCTAACTGGCCTCAATTTAATGAGTTTTAAAGTAATTCATTTTCCCCAACCAATTTTCAGTCAGGTAATTGTCTCTTTACTTAATATTCATTTAGTAAGTACTATGAACAATATAACCGTCCATGTTTGGAATATGTTGATTTTTTTGTGTTTCCTCCCACAAAAACCAAGCTTGAACCTTTGGAGTGATTCTGTTATTGGTTGCAATAAAAGGTTAAATTACCTGTGTCCGCCGGTCGATCCTAATATTGCTGTGTCCTATTACAGGAGATGCATTTCGGCAGAATAAATTGCCATCATCAGTCCTAATACAAGTTCTTGATCTTCCCCATTGGGTGCGTCTTGAAGTTTTGAAACACGTACACGAACTTTACACTTAGATACATCACGATTAAAACATAAAAATACACGGTAGGTCTACTTTTATTTGAGCTATGACGGACATGTAGACGCGCGTCGATCTTGTCGAGACTCGACACACGACCGACGCGCGTCTACATGTCCGTCATAAAAAAAAGCTCAAATAAAAGTAGGCCTACTGTGTATTTTTATGTTTTAATCGTGATGTATCTAAGTGTAAAGTTCGTGTACGTGTTTCAAAACTTCAAGACGCACCCAATGGGGAAGATCAAGAACTTGTATTAGGACTGATGATGGCAATTTATTCTGCCGAAATGCATCTCCTGTAATAGGACACAGCAATATTAAGATCGACCGGCGGACACAGGTAATTTAACCTTTTATTGAATGTCATACAACATAAAACATAAAACAACATAAAACAACATAAAATGATTATTGGTTGCTATTGATGTATCAAAAAAGGAATACTCTTTTATTTTGCTAACTAAATTTGTAATTGTCAAGGTTGCAACATGCCCCATCCCTCCTAGTGCAGAAAGCCCAATGCTGAGAAATGGAGCATATGAAAATAATGCGACCAGACCTGCAGAAAGAGAACGCCTGACATCAAGATCCGAGAGGAAGTCAGATTCTGTGAGTCTAATATTAGTCATTTAAAATTTCTTTATATAATGATGTTTGATTATGGTAATAAATTGTATTGTAATAACTATGTAATAACATCCCGAACATACTATTGTTTGAAAATAACTAACTGCCAATAGTGCCAATATCACAGCCAATCTGTCCCTTTTCACGTTTATTGACTATAATGAATATACCTAGCTAGTTTTTATTTTGCTTTTATTCCAAAAATGTTATAAAAAAATTGTTTTATTGTATAGATCAGTGTTTTTTATGACCCTCCCTTTATACCATTTGCTAGTAACTTTTGATTTTTGTTTGTTATATTGCAATGATACTTTTCCTTTTAGCGTCTTAGCATATATTTTGGCTGGGTCATCGTCAATAGTTAACTAATTATAACTTAGCAAAACTTAATGGTACAAAAAGCTGTCTTTGGGGTTGCTTTTCTTCTTAATGGCTACTTTAAAGTCATCTTAAGGTAGTCTATGTTATTTACACATGTTATTGAGACATGATGTTGCGTCTAACAGTTATTATTGTTTTCAGGAGAGAGACCCGCTTAGGTATCGAGGTGGAAGTGGGTCTCCCCCACCTCGAGGGAGATCTGAAAGATCTCGATCCCGCTCAATAGAGAGGAGAAACACCGCAAGGCGCTCGAGATCAAGATCTCGTAGATCTCGCTCTCGTGGACGCGAGCGTGACCGTAGTCGTGCATGGAGAAACCGCTCTCCGCCCCGATCCAGATATGATCGGGACCGAAAGTAAGATTTTGCAATAACTACTTTTATGAATTAACTATTTTGAACTTATTATCAATTTACTGTAACAAGTATTTAGTACTCATATTACTATTCTAAGTTGGATATTATACTTATAGTATTATTTATAATAGTATAGTACTGAAGTAGTATTTAGTGGGTAACCTAGGGTAAGTTAGCCAAAGTTAAAGCTACCTTAAGTTTGTCATAAATTCATATGCTCTAATTGGTTTCAAGTTGTATTAAATTGTTAATCTAAATAAATAAATGTAAATTTTAACAGGGGCTGGTCTAAAAATATGCAGTAGTTGTCTACAATTAACCTGTTACATCCTAACATAATGTTGAGAAATCTAACATACTGAACATAGAAATCTAACATCTGTCATCAGGGAAACAGAGCGAGTGCCGATCCATTCTTTGCTGTGGGGGTCATAAACTGTCAAAACCATCAGATAGGTCTGAGTGCCGTTTGACTCTCTGCTATAAGAGTGATTCAGGGGAGGGGTATTAGTGGAAGGGGGTGTAGTGGGCAGGGTGTAACGGAGACCGGTACAGTTTTTTAACTGGCCTACACTAATATCGATTGAAAATATGAATTTGATTAGTAAACCTTCATTCAATTTTTTCATAATCAGCCAGTTTGGCTAGGTATAATAGTTTCATTTCATCCCTCAAACAAGTTTTGCTCATCCTGCCCCCCCCCCCCTTGGCTATCCACGAGAATGTTGTGACTGAGTGATTGTGCTTATGCAAACCAAACCTAACCTAAATACTTGAGAAATAACCAACAACATCGACTTTGAATGAATGGTAAAATTTCAGTAGAAGATTATGTTTAAATGAACCGTTTTAAACCCAGCTTAGATAAATTTGTGTTTCACACACTTCTATTTACAAAAAAGATATTATAAGAGCGTCTATGTATATGCCTGAGGAAGAAGACATGTAATTTATTAACTCATTGGTTGCAATCGTGCATCGTTTTTGCGGTTGGTGTAGTAAACAAAGGTAATTCTATAGTCTGCCCACGAGATGATAGGCCTCTGCACACTAAACATATTGGTCGTCGCTGTATAACTTACTTAGTATATTTTTTTAAATGTATGATTATAGTTAATCCGCAGCGTGGTTAATAAACTTGTTTGCAATCCTGATTCTGTTTTTAGCAGGATGCGCAGTTGGTCTAAGAGCCCTCCAACAAGATCCCGGTCTCGCACTCCTCCAGCTAAGCTGAGAAGTCGTTACAGGAACCGCACAAAGTCTAGGTCTCACAGCCCGTACGGTAGGTTATCTGGCTTGTAGTTTTTGTTAGCAGTGTCACCTACAATGTTAATAAAAAAAAAACATATTGTGTTTGGGACTTTGTAAGTCATGAAAAAACTAAAAACTCATGTTTAGTTGTTTGTGAAGTCCATTATTAATTCATATTTGCCTTGGATACATTTTTGTGTGTGGAGTTAATCATTCATCATTCAATTCAATTTATTTATTTTCTCCCTAACACCATTTTACAAAAAGACTATTTATTTATGGTAGGAACTCAAAGTTAACAACAATTGCTAGGATCTATAACTATAATCAGTGTCATTTAATGTAACTTTAATGCACTGGTTTAATATTCTGCTTGTGTTATGTTTACTGAGGCAGTGAGGCATACATGTTAATATTATTCATTTACTTTACCTACCTTACTATCCTTGCACACTGAAACCCAAGTAGGGTTTTGGCCCTGCCATATTTCTCTTTTCTTGGCTACTGACCTACATTGTTTTCTTCCTTCTAACAAAGCATCGAGTACTTTTGGAATATGCCGTATCTGGACCTGGCGGCAAGGTGTGGGTATTAAAATAAAACACACATTTAAATTTTAGAAAACCTGATCTGGAATAGTGGAATAAGCCAGTGAGGTAGGAAGACAACTGGAGGTATAGAGTGTATCGGAAGATTATGGTAGCAGTGGGAACAAAAGTTGGTGTGATGTTTGGCTGAATGGGGTTAGTTTATTTATGCAAGTCATTTCACACATATGGATTATTTAATGGTAGGCTACATGCGTTAAACTGGCAGAGTAAATACAAGTAATCAGGAGAATTACCAATATAGAAATATACAATGAGTTATATACATTACAATACTACAATTTACAATTTTTTCATTTCAGATTCAGCTCATGGGGCCTCTCCACACGACAGTAACCATGGTGATGAAATGAGAAGTTCAGTAAGCCTGCAAAGTGTCGTTCATTCTACAAAAAGGAGATGCCGCGATTACGATGGTAAGTTGAGGCATACAGGCTACAATATTAATTTACTTTACCATCCTTGCACACTGAAACCTAAGTAGGGATTTATTTTTAACCCTGTCATATTTCCCTATTCTTGGATTCTGACCTACATTGTTTTCTTCCCTCTAACAGATAGCACTAAATCAAATTTCAATATTGTTAGAGGGACACTCAATTCTGGTTGCTGAGCAATTTAAATTTAGAAAAGCTCACAGTACAGTAAACAGGTAAACAAACTTGTGAACAAAGTATCTTGTGCTTCGAATGGCCTTTCCAAGGCCTTTTATTATTTTTTTTTTTTTTTTTTTTTTTTTTTTTTTTTTTTTTTTTTTTTTTTTTTTTTTGCCTGCAGAACAATTATTTATTTGGAAAATCTCAAAAATATTACAACAGTTCATAAACAAAGCTTGCTGCAAAAGCCAGGAAAAATTGGCTTGTCTGCAGCTCATAGAGATAAACTTGTTCTAGATAACAATGTACTTTGTCCCTTGGTCAGTCTTCTCCATATTACACTCTGGTTTTCCTTGTTTCTTGTCAAGATCTGCTATTTGTTGTTTTGACTTATTCTCTACCTTTCTATATAAGACTAGCTTGCTTTAAAAACAACTTGAAACAATTATCTTAAATAAATAAAATATATAACAATAAATAACATGCATTAAATACTTCTCAACTTTAACAATAATATAATGAAATAATTTTTTAACAATACAACAATACATAACTAAATAAATAATTAAATAATTTATAATAACAAAAATATTAAACCAGTTTTAATGGATTCCTTGAGATGACAATACTAAAATAAATAACGTGCATTAAATGATTTTAACTTTAACAATAATATAAAAAGAAAGTAATGTAATAAACAATGTTTAAATGAATTTATTGAGATAACAATGCTTAAGCCTAGATTTCAAGACTCTAAAACTAGTTATATTTTCTATTTCAGTTGGCAATCTATTAAAAAACGTTGGAACTAGAAATTTTCTAACTCTTTTTGAAAATTTGTTTGTGGTCTTAGGAACAATATAAAACTGTTTGCGTGAATTGTATCTATGGTCATTTTTTACTTTAAATTCATTTGAGAAATAGTAATCAAGTAAAATTATATACTCAAATAATACATCCACTGGTAATACCTCAACCATCCTATATCCGAGCAGAGGGTTTTCTGACAAAACAGTAGAGTCAAGCTTTGTCATAGTTTTTATGATTCTATTTTGCACAGTTTTTATTTGATTTATGGCTGTGGGTGATGCTGATCCCCATGATCTTAAGCCATATCTAATCACTGACTCACATATGCCTGAATATATGATTTTCATTGTTGTAAAAGGTAAAAAATCTTTTAAATAGAAAAATTTTGCTGCACAAACTCGTAGCCTGTTTGTTACTGTCTTAATTTGTAAATCCCATTTCATATTGTGGTCAATTGTTATACCTAAATATTTGTAATTCACTACATTCTGTAATGGTAGGCACCCACATGCAGCATTTTCAAATTGTTTATTGTGTAAGCAGTCATGACAATGGAATTTCACATTTATTTCTGAGCATTTGTATGACGGTGAATGTATGTGCATCAACTTTGATTTATCTCCATTTATAGCTAGACCATTGTCGTGGCACCACATGGTTAAACTTAAGAAATCTATTTGCATTTTTTCGGTAGCTTCCTGAATGTTTTTGTGGGATAATACAAGCGCAGTGTCATCTGCATACATATATATTCTACTAAATTGTAATATTTCAGGAAGTGAATTAACATACAACAAGTATATCAATGGCCCTAATATACTACCTTGGGGTACCCCATACCTTAAGATTTTTTCCTCTCCATATGTACTCTTAATTCTAACCTTACATTTTCTATCCATTAAATAACTTAAAAACCAGTCTTTAATTTGCCCTCTTACTCCTGCTGTGTCCAGAGCCATTGCAATTGTCTCATGCTTTAAAGTATCAAATGCCTTACTAAAGTCTATAAATATTACTAAAACCTGTTTTCCTTCACTAAGCTGTTCATTTATATAATCTGTAAAATCTAAAAGTAGCTCGTTTGTTCCTTTCTTCCTCTGATATGCATATTGCTGTTTGCTAATAATACTATTCCTTTCTAAATGGTCAATCAAATTATTTGCAATATATCGCTCCATTAACTTACTAATAGCTGGTAAAATAGATATTGGACGATAATTCAAATAGCTCTCATGACTTCCTGCTTTATAAATTGGTCTAATTACTGCAGTTTTTAACAGTTCTGGAACGCAAGATTTTTTAATTGAAGTATTTATCAGTCTTATTATGGGTTCAGACAGTAAATCAGAATTGTTTTTTATGTCCTGCATGCGTATATTATCTAAACCAGGTCCCTTTTTCTTCATAGATTGTACTAATATATTAAAATTTTCCTTATCCAGGTCTGGTATGGTTAGAGTCTCCTTACATTTCTTTTGCTCCTTATATTGTGACACAATTATCTGACAGTCATGTAAAGATGCATATACACATTCTGTGAATTGTTCTCCAAAGGAATTGCACACTGTTTCTATTTTGTTGTTCTTATCCAATAAATATTTCTCTACGACCTCATCTATATTTTTTGTTTTATTTTTTCCCAAAATTGTATTTATATTATTCCAAGTCACTTTCATATCGTTTCTACTTCTTTGGAACAAACAATAGTAATAATTTCTTTTAGCTTTATTAATTTCTGCAACTACCTGGTTTCTAGCAATTTTATAATCAACTCTATGTTTGGTTATATTTGGGTAGGCTTTATGTGTTCTGAAAAGTTTGTCTCTTTTTTTAATCATGTTAACTATTTTTAAACTCATCCATGGCTTCTTTGTTTGCTTTTGTCTTTTTATTTTACAAACTGAACTAATTTCATAGGCTTCTTTGAAATTTAATAATATACGGTTGTAAATATCATTTGGATTATTTAAAGTATTAATTGACTGCCATTCCATTTGTCCTAGTGCCTGTTTTAGTACAGCTATATCAATATTTGCTGATTTATTTTTCCTCTGAGTGGATGGACAGCAATGGTCAGTCTGAACGTTGATCACACAGGTGTAGTGGTCTGATATCTTTACCTGTACGATATCTGAGCTGACCTTTGCTCTCTTAGCTCTAAGGAACGCATGGTCTATACATGTCTGAGTCAATTTATTTGCTCTTACTTCCTCTCTGGTAAAATCATTAATATAAGAAATCAGCCCATGTCCTGCCATAATTGATTTATAATCCTCAACACTTTTTTTATAATAATCCTTTAAGTCCAAGTTCATATCTCCAATCACCAATAGATCGCCTTTAATATCTGTTATTATTTTTTCCATTTCAGCTATAAATCTATATTCATCACCTGATGGCTGTCTGTATGTGGCTACAATATTTATCACATAGTTATTTTTTGTGACCTTAATGACTTTGCTTTCAAAACTACTACTGTTTACATCCAACCCCTGTACTAAAATGTTTTCTTTAATAAAAATTACAATACCTCCACCTTTTTTTTCTTGTCTTAAATTGTGCACTATGTTATATCCCTTAATATTAAAAAAATTCAAAATTTCAGACAGAGTTTCTTTTACATTAACTTCAGTAAATATAATTATGTCCACAAAAGTAAAACATTCATAAAAATAAACCAAAAACTGATCCCAATTTTTTCTTATTGACCTAATGTTAAGATGCAAAATTGTTATACCTGACTCATACTGTCCTTCAAAACATGAGTTTTTAAATTCTTGTGTATTCAAAAAAACTTGTGCCCTATATTGATCACTATCAAAAATTTCCATATTGTTTATCAATCAGGTCTAAGAACTAATAATGTGTCAGGTACAACAAATTTTACTTTATTTTACTTAATTGAGACATATCTTCTATAACTAAAACTTTACTTTTTTCACTCTTTCTCACTCTAACTGCTCCATATTTAAACCAGATAAACTTGTATCCTAGTTCTTTTCCCTTCTTCTTTGCTTCCCGTAGTAAGTTTCTGTAGTAAGGTGATAGATTTTCACTTACGTATATCCTGCCGCCATCGAGCCCCGTCACCTGGTTGTTGGTCACCACCTTATCCCTCTCTGCCAGGATCTCTTCCCTCTTTTTCCTCCTCACCATCTGTACAATTATGGTTGCTGGTCGGTCGTCCCGGCGAGTCTTTGGTAGTCGGTGAGCCATCTCTATGTCGTCTTTCGTCATCACTACACCCATCTTGTTTACTACATCCACCACAATTTGTTCAACATCTTCCAATTCTTGCTCAGCAACTTCATTGATTTCAATGTTTCTATTTCTTCCATATTGTTCCAGCTGGTTAAGTCTTGATTCCAATGCACATATCTGGTCATCTTTCTTCTGTATGGTAGCTTTTAACTGCTGAATCTCCCTCTCTAGGACTGGTAGAGTCTCTAATTTTCTGCAAATGTCGTCATATTGATTTCCTATGTACTCCTGACTTTGAACCATTTCATCGTTTTTATTTTTTATTTGTTTGATATCTTCTTTAATTTCGCTCAAGCACTCTAACTTCATAGAAACTTCTTCTAAAAAAGACTTAATGCGTTCCGTCTCCTCCTCATTTTCCTCTGTTCTTCGTCCGCTTTTTTTAACTGATTTACATTTTCCACAGACCCATTCTGCCTTGTGTGTTTTCGTAAGTTTTTTAAACATTGCATGACTAAAGCCAGCACATCTGTAATGATACTCTAACTTACAATTATCGTTTGAACAAACAATTAATTCAGACTTCTCTAAAATAACCTCCTTACAATGATCACAACTCATCTTGCATTAACTTGACAAATCAGCAAACAAGGAAAACTGGACACAAAACTCACAGAGACAAGGAAAACACAACCTTCCTCTATCACTACCACTGACTGAATTGTTAACCACATAATACTTTAAACACCCCCGCCGCAGCAAACCTGCAGACTTAGTGAATTTCCATTTGCCTGATTGGATTTACAATAACATGTCTCCTTAAAAATATCACATTTATTCCCTATTTAAATACAATTAATTTAACAAGTGCTTAGGTTTGCTGCAACAGGGAGGGTAAAAAAGTGCTTTTGTTATAAAATTTTAAGACTAGTTTAGTAAAAAATGAATGTATTTTCCAAATTTGATCAAAATATGTTCATAAACAAGCAAACTACAACAGTTGACTTATTCTCCATAAGAATAACATAGTAATTTTAAATATACATTTTATTTTTATTTTTACGTAACTAGGCACATAATAACTCTTCAAAATACTAAATTATTTGTTTTTTAAGCTCTACAAAATGGGTTTCAAAGAAATTTTGAAATTTTGTGTTTTAGGGTCAAAAATGGGAAAAACCTATTTTTACCCCATAAAACCCCCCATAAACCCCCGTTCCCATAGTCGATCATGCTGGTTCGCAAACCCGTTCAAATAAATGTAGGTTTACACGTTTGTATCAAATTTCATCAAAATCGGATCATTTTTGCTAGAGTTATCGTGCAAAAGGACAAATATATATTTATATGAATTTGAACGGATGGTGTTTTTGGCCTCAAGGGACCTCAAAACGAAAAAGTAAATCGGTCCCGGGTCCAGGTCTTACCATGAGTACTACGGTAATAGCTTATTCCCTATATGGGAAATTCGCTAAAATAGCTTGATGTGTACTAATTTATCAAGCAATCAATTTCATGGATTAAATCATACTTAGAAAACCGGTTTCATAGAACTTAAATTGTGAAAAATTATTTCATATCAAATCATGGGATCATTTAATATAATGGGATGAAATTGAAATGGGTGTTTTTATTTTTCATAAAATTTGGAGACGAGACCGAGACGGGATTTCCCTTCTCATACATAACGGGAAATGCACGTTCCACATTTTAACCTGATTTTTAAATACCTACTGATGTATGATAGACTGGTTAAATACAAAAATAATAATAATTTAAAAAAATATTTAAAATCTTAGATTAAAAAACCTTAATAAAACATCAGTATAAAATAAATATATTAATAAGGCCTAACTTATTAAAAATAACTCTTCTGTATAGGTAACATGGAAAGATCAGTTAGTATATAGTTCAACTTTTGAAAAATATCTAATTTATAAGTCTAAAACCCCATCCATTAAGTATTACTAGTTAAGTATCAAGTAACAATTTTTACTTCTATACCATAATAGTATATGGAGAAAGTATTGTTTTCTTCAAAATTTTCGAGTTTGAGTTTTGAGTGGATCTATCAGTTTTGGGTCCCCCTGGACCCGAAAAAGTGGTTTTCGAAGTGATGTCTGTGTGTGGATGTGTACAGGGCTAGGGACTACACCTGTGGTCCGATTTCGATGAAATTTGGTGTGTAGGTTCTAATCCATAGTATCTCCAGGCTTTTATTTCATTTTTTTGAAATTTTTATTTTTAATGTTGATTTTCCCATAAAAATTCATAGCCTAAATTAAAAAAAATCTGATTTTCTCAAAAATGGACGATTTAAATAAAAATTTAGTATGTCGTAGCCCTTTAAATTCTGAACAAAATGGTACGACTTCCATTTCTGTAAAAATTACGGTTCAAAAGATATTCTAAATTATGTACCCAGTTTTCTCACAGAAGACCACAAAGGAATAAGGTTATCACCGCCATTTTTACACTCCTTAATCACCTTAATTACCTTCAGTCATCTGGCGTTGAATGTCGGCATCCGATATGTCTCTTGTAATTAAAAAACACGGCATATAACTGATCTTATCTCACACTTTGCGGCCTTACGGGAGATTTAATAACTATAAAAATTGTATAAACACACAGCTAAGCGTACTAATCTACAAATGGTGTCATTCTGTTCATAAATGATGCCAGATGAGCTTCGTTGTGGTGTCTACGCTAACTACAGAGCTACACAGAAAAACGGCCTTTACTTAAAAAACTACCCTCGTTAACAGATAACCAAGCCAATAATATCAATTTAGACATTTATCTATAATTCAATGAAAATCCTAATCAGAATCAGAATCATCATTTATTGTCTTTCAGCATTACATACATGCAATCGACAGTGTCATTTTACATGCAAAATAAATAAAAAATACATCAAAATCAGATATCACATATACATTTAAAACATAAATATTGATACTTTATACAGAAAAGGGGTTCTGCATGCGAGGGGAGATGTGCCCCTACGACCATGGCAAGGACCCAGTTGTCCTTGAAGATGTAGGACAAGTTTTGAACTTCTCAGCACCGGGACTTCCCCCCACAACACTAGAACCGCCTGTGCCCCCCATGGTGGCCCCAGGAATGAATTTGCACCACAGGCCCCCTATAAACCTAGGTAATAAAATTTAACTAGATTTGTGTTAGCTTATAATTTAAATTAATACATAATAGGTTCAAATTACTTTTTTATTAAGATCTAGTGATAATCTGATCTAATTCATGACATGATCATCATGACCAACCTCAGGTCATGCTATAATCTTCTAAAAATTACTGTCATTAATATATTTAAATAAGATGTATGTCAAAGCTTAAAATAATGTTTTTTAATTAACCTAAACATACAATTACTAACTTGTTTATTATTTGTATGCTAGACCTTTTGAATACTTGTTTGAATGGGAAAAATGTTTGGTTTTCATAGAAACATTGAGGTGGTTTTGGTTCAAAACTGAATCATTGAATTATTTTCTTTGCAAAATTCTCTTCTTACGCATTTCACATAATTTCCTTCAGACTTCTGGATGTTGTATTTTCTTAGAATATCACCAATCTGTTTACCTCTCTGTATTATCCCTTCTCTTCCCTATTTTACTCATATCCCTATTCATAACTTTTCTGTGTCTCTTTCTCTGCTCTTTTGCTGTCCATTTTTCTGTTCCTGCCAAATCCTCTTCTATGAGTTTGATTTTTCAATACAAAAAATACAAAATGGTCTTAAGAGAACATTGTTTCTGTAGTGGAATACAATCCAGACGCGCCAAGTATGGACTCAAGGATGTGGAGTAAGCAGCCTTTCCGAACCTCAGGTATGGTTGTAATATATATGCATTTGCATATGTATAGATTATTTTATCAAGTTGGCAAGTTCTTTTAAAGTTGCATTTGCCTGTTTATAGGCCTCTGGCCTGTGCATGGATTGTATCCGGAAAAGCAAAAGTTAAGCTGATACAGCACTAGAGTCGTAACCTATAAAATCACTTCAAAAATTTATATAGCAATCCAAAGTCTGTAGCGCTACCGACTCATCGATTTTCCTATTGATATTTGATTTGGTAAATATTTAATATTATTAATTATTGTATTAAAAATGTTTATTTTTGTTAAACATACCTATTAATATACAGTAGAGTCCCGCAAACTCGGCGTAATGTGGAGCGGGAGGGTGTCGAGTTTGTGAAATGCCGCGTTATCGGGAACTAGAGTTAAAAATAAGAGCAATACAATTTTTAAGCTTTTTTACCACCTTTTCAATTAAATTTATATTACAAGTCAGTATTAAGTCATTAGATATAGTACAACAAATCCTTAGTACGAGTTGCAAATGATTATACTTGAGCTGGCTTGTGTCCATGTTTAACTCGGACTCAAAAAATCGCTCGTTTTCTGAGCGAGGTCAGGGCTGGGTTATCCAGTGCCGAGTTTGCGGGGCTCTACAGTACGATTGTTTTAAATATTATATTAATTTAGTATCTCATTTACTCCTTACATTGTGAAAATGTTCATTTCAGAAGGAATTGTGTTTTTGGTGGGTACCCAGTCTTCTCACAGAAGACCACAAAGGAAAAAGGATTTTACAACCATTTTAACACTCCTTACTCATTTCTGCACTTAACCCAAATTCATTCTGTTCACAAATTATGCCATTAAGCTACGAGGAACCTTATTGTGGCGTGCACACAAACTTACGGCGCTATACTCAAAAACAACCCTTGTTTAAAAAATTACCCTCCTATAAGCTTACAAGTACTTAACGTGGTCTTAATTGTTGAGAATAACGATCCCTATGTGATTGTGTTTTCAGCGGGACGTAGCTTGCTTCAGAGGGGAGGTATGATGAGAGCTCCTCTGGCTCTAGGCTTCCCTCCTCACCATCAGAGAGAGCTCATTAGTGTTCCTGTAGGTGAAGAGAATGCAGGATACTACCACGGAGTCCCAAACCCTATGAAACGCCAATGTCCTCCAGACTTCTCCAATGATGCGGTAGGCTTTGACCTCAACAGTCCCCTCGTTAAAACGGAGGCTTTTTTCCTAGCCGAGCTTTCATGACTTTACGTAACTGCAAATAAGTTAATCATGGCTAGCCAGAAACATTAAAAAAAATTTAATGTTAAAATTTGGAGTATAATATAATTGTTTAAAAAAGATGAAACAAGGAACAAGGAAGGTTATTATTTGAATGTATTGGTAAATATTTAATGGATTAAAATAATAGAATATTTATTTCAGGAGGAATAGATAATTTAAAAAAATAAAAAATTAAATGCCAGTAGGCCAACCTTAAATTTTTATGTACTAGCATGAGTTTAAACCCAGTTGAAAGCATGTTAAATTTGGTCACCAGTAAAAAGCAGTATTAAATTTAGCACCTATCATATATTATAAATCTGCTATTAGTATTTGCATTCATCACAATGTTGTGCTGACTATACTCCTTAATATCGTGGTCATTTTCATTATCATCATCAAAGTTCACAAAAACATAATCGTATTCCAATATCACGGTAAAATCTTGAATAATCTCCCTTAGTTGTGTGATCATTGTCATCGTCTCACGAGGTCACGGAAACGTTATCATCGTCATCTGCCATCACCTCAATATTCTGAAAATTTTCTTTGGTTTTTAGACATTATTGTTGTCTCCTGTGGTCACAGAAATGCCCTCATAGTCCTCCATGATCGCAGAAAAATCCTGGACATTTCCTGCCGTTTGTGGACATTATTGTTGTCTCCCCAGGTCATAGAAACGTCATCATATTTCCGAAATCGCGGAAAAATCTGGACATCTCCTGCGGTTTGTAGATATCATCGTCGTCTTTCGCGGTCACGGAAACGTCATCATAGTCTTTCGCAATCGCAGGAAAATCTTTAACATCTGCCGTGGTTAATAGATATCATCGTCGTCTTTCGCGGTCACGGAGACGTCATCATAGTCTTTCACAATAGCAGGAAAATCTTTGACATCTGCCATGGTTAGTAGACATCAGTCGTCTCCCGCGGTAGTCTTCTGCTGGCGATCGCAGAAAAATCTGGTAATCTGCAGTTTGTAGATATAATTGTCGTCTCTCGCGGACTTGAAATGATCATGGCTTCTTCTGTGATCATGGCAAAATCCTGGACATCTCCCATGGTTAGTAGACATTATCCTCAGGTCACGGAAACGTTATCAACGCCATCCGCAATTGCAGCAAAAGCCAGATTTTTTTCGATCGCATAAACCTCGTAGAAGCGTTTTACGATCGTGACTGTAAAATTTCAGCTCGAGCTTGATTTACCAACTTTGTGCTCGATTTCTTGAGCTTGTAGGCCAGTTTCGGCTCGAAAATCAAGCCGCTCTCACACCTCTACTTATTTATTACACTATCACAAATTTTGTAAAAAAGTAAGCGCACAGCCGACAAAAGTGCAAGGAGCAGAGGATTGTCAGTGCCAGTGGATAGTTGACATTGAAGCTTTAGATCAATATTCTTTGTTTTCTTCCATATTATTTTTGTCAAATAAACTGTGATAATTCAAAAACAGCCAACTGAATATAAATAATAGGCAGAAATAGTTGATAGGCTACAATGCGTTCCAACTTGTTAGACTAAAGAAACACAATTTATAAAATTTTCTTGGTATTTTTCTTGGACTGTGAGGTTTTGTATTGAAATTTTGAAGGTACAGTATCTATTGACCACCGGTTGATCCACCCCCAGTGAATCAAGGTTCTGCTGTAATTGTTTCTGAAATGGATTAATAGAATAATTACATTAATAATTTACACTCTATCCCCTACTTATTTCAGTCTGTGCCAGTTTTTTTTTCAATACTTATCAATTTAAATAACCCCGCCGCAGCAAACCTGCAGACCAAGCAAATTTACATTTGCCTGATTAGATTTTCACTTAAATATTATATGTAACATGTTATATTTAGTCCTTTTTAAGTAACTTCAGGTTAATTGAGTACTAAGGTATTTTGTTACAGGGAAGGTTACAAGTCTTTTTTGGTAAAATGTTAATAGTTTGGTAGGCCTATAAAATAAATAAATATGCCAAGTTTGATAAATCTATATCCATAAACAAGCAAACTACAACAGTTAACTTATTCCCCAAAAGAATAACTTAACATTTTGAATTCACAATACTTTTTTTTTATTTTCACCGTGGCTAATAATTGTACAGGTGTTTACTACCTAGTGTTTACTTCAAAGTATCTAATCATTTCTTAATGTTTTTTAAGCTCTAAAAATGGTTTAGATAAATTGGGAAATTCTATGTTGAATTTTGACCCTCAATCACAAGGAGAAAAACCAATTTGTACCCCAGTAAACCTCCCATTAAATCCCGTTTTCATAGTCAGATAAACGCTCATTTGCGTAATTGTTTGATAAAACTTAGGTTTACACCTTTAAAACCATGGACCAGATTTTGTATAAACCCCTGGATTCTATGGGCTCCTTCTGAGCTCCCTGGGGATGAAATTTGAGTGTGGCTGGCTCTAGGGGTAGGCCTAGCCTGTTTTTTATTACAATTTTATCCCACCAACCTGGAAAGGTATTTTCAATATAAAAACAAAAACTGAACTATTAACATTTCATTATTCTTTTCAGGAATCAGTTCCAGTCAAACAAAGATTTGATTATTCAAGATTGGGTCCAAGGGGACGGGGTGGGAATTGTTCCCTGCAACTGAAAAAAGTCCCAAAAGGATTGAACAATATTGCCCACCTGCACAACCACTTTTACAAATTCGGAAAGATTGTTAACATTCAGGTAACCAAACCATATTTATTAATTTTATTTGAAAATCCTTACAATGTTTTTGATTTGGTGACGGTACAAATCGTATTTGCGAAAGAAGTCTGACAAGCAAAAAACATTACTACGTTTGAAAAATGAAACTTTTCCTGTCACAACACAACACAACACAACACAAACTAGATTGTTCATTGATTATTAACTGTTCATGGGGTGATTGTTGCACACTCTTACTTTTGATTTTGTATCACAGATGATTTTGCAGTCTTTTCTATTGAGGATTTGTTAATTTATACCCATCTTCCTTATATATGTTTGGTATTTTCTTTTGATAGCTTTGACAAAATTTAATTTTAAAGTATATTTAATGAAATCAACCAGAATAAGATAATTATGCCAGTTTATTTATCCCTAACGAAAATTAAAATATCATTAAGAAAATTACCTATTATTACAGGATCATAAAAAAGGGTTGTGGTCTTAAAAACAAATTAAACAATCTGCATGCATGATGTGTTATTAGAATTCGTGATATTAACATTGCGTCCATTTTTATCAGCACATTGGTTGAACCGGACTAGATCGGCAGGAAGTGGGCAGTAGCGGTACTGAAACAACTGTTCTCATGGGAAAGATTTGAGACCAGTGATCACGTGTCTAAATTCAATGCTCTCCTAAATTTTAGTCGAATGAATATCTCAGTAAACAGTCCGTTTTAACGAGTTTTTGGGGACGTCGGTTTAACCAGGAAACCCGTTATCCGGACTGGCCTCGGTCCCGAGGAGTCCGGATAAGAGGGAGTCTACTGTATTATAGTTTTCTTTGTAAACTAAGTGATGATCCTACTTTGATCCATCCAAAGTTGATAGATGGAAATAAGTGACTTGTTTTGTTGTGAGCACTTTCATTTTTGCTAAAAATTAATTAACTTGGATATTTAAGGAATTGACTTAAACCTGTGCATTGTAAGGGGATGGAGATCGGGTTCAATACCATATTTCAACTTAGTGCAGTGCAGTACATCTTACACCCTCCAGCAGCTACTGCAACATCACTGACGGGGTTGGTTGCATGACATAAGTAGGTGCACACACCAATGACAAAGAGGAACACTTGGACGGTTGTTATAAATTCAATGTAGATTCACAGATATTCTTTTATGTGTTTTAAGGATTGAAATTTATTTTGTTGTTGGTTCTATATGTGGGTTTTAAATGGTGAACATTGCACGGTTACAGGTATCATTTGAGGGAGATCCTGAAGCAGCTTTAATAACCTTTACTAGTCATGCTGAGGCCAGTGCTGCCTACAAAAGCACTGAAGCTGTATTGAACAACAGATTCATTAAAGTATTTTGGTACAATCCAGATAAAGATGTAAGTACAACTCATTAGCATTCCTCTCAACTTTTGTCAAATTTTCAGTGAAGTCTATCCATTAACCTGTTTTAAGGGACAGATGTTATTGCCAACCCACAAAATATTCAGGGTTGGGCGAGTAAAGGATTTTTCAGTCCAGTAGAGTAAAGTTAATTTGTGAACTGACATTAGTAATTTTTTTATTATTAAAGTTTTCATGAAATGATAGTTATTTTACATTCTGTACTGTGTCACCAATTATTTTCATTGAGGTACAACAAAAGATAAGTCAAGAGGGTCAATAAAAAGAAGTAGATCAATTATGAAACAGAAAAAGCCATATGCCATATGTGGCACACTAGTTTAATGTATCTAATTTTAATAGGATAAACTGACTTAATTATCCAATAAAATTACTTATCAATAATTGGTAAACAGATATATTCAAGTAGTTTGTAACTGGTTAAATTTGTAGTTAGATTTCGGCCATATTGTAACCAGAGTTCACCATGGTTTACCTGGTGTTTGTAGAAGGGATGAGTCACTCCGTTTGTTGTAATAGTACCCCTATCCTAGACAGCTAAAGGAAGACTTACACCACAACAACATCTGTAGTATACCAACTCCTATCAACATCGAATAACTGGTTTGACACTTTGGGAAGAAGGATCATGGATGGAGGTTGAAGGAAACATCTTTTATTGCATGTAAATCTCTTAAACATCAGCTGATGAGACCTATTAGCGGCATAACTGGCATCTTCAAACATAATGAACAGCGAGGTCTGCAGACGACGTCCCAGCAGAAGCAAACTTTGATTTTTGGTCTGTTCTGCCTGTTAATCAGTACAAACCAGGGGCGGATTATCCATGAATACCCTTGTTAAATACAGTGATGCTGGCATTTTAAAGTTGAGAGTCTCAGCTCTTTTTGCTTTTTTGTAACTTGCTGACCAACAAGCATGGGTTTTATTTCTTCTTTTTCTGCCTCATGCAATCGTGGTTGCAGTTCATCCTGTGACTGCCATAGGTTCTGCAGGTCTATTTTTACATTCTGATTTGTCACCGAGAGTGGATTTTTTTTCTCTGGCAACCTAAGATACTTCTACCTATACTCTGTGGGCCCTAGGATAGGTCTGTCTAACCTTTTCAGGTTCCTATGTGTAACCTTGAAGGTAAGAAGGGTGATCCTCTACTTGTTTTTTTAAGTAGTGTGAACCCCACAGAGTCAAGACAAAATTATAGGTCCCCACCAAACCCATTGTCTAGGGTGGTGATGATAAATGGTGTCTAGTGACACGTTAGTTTTATTCTGAGCTAACTAAGACTACTAAATACATATAAGAATAAGACTATCAAACGTCGTTGCAGTATCTCCATACAGCTCCGTTTGTCTCTTGAGGTGTAGTACGATGTGCTGCAATGTTCACTGTCACTAGACCGTGAATTTCTTCTTCAGGTTTGAGTGGGGACCCTGAAGTATTTGCTGGATGTCTAAAATATACATTTACTTTGAAGTAGCAACTGATTCTTTTATAATGTTTTTATCACAGTGTGATTTCTTCCTTTTTAAATATCCCCTGAACAAGTTAAAAAAATCTATCTTAAAATTAATTTACAGAATAAGCAGGAGAACATTTCCCCGCTGGCTAGACCTTCTGCCAAAGAACGCTTAGGAGCCCAAATGAACGTGAATGCACCACCAGTTACCAATATGGAGCCAACCAATGAAATGGAAAAGGTTTTCCTTTATTTTCCATTTTACTAACTGAATGTTTTTTGGAGTTGGGTATTGCAGTTCTAGTCTAGTTATTGCATTGATTGTTGACATGACTTATCATGTCTTCACTTAAAGAAGCATTTGTTGCATTTGATATGATACATCACGTTGAGCATGATTATAATAACAAAAATACAATTTTTATGTTATTTTTAGTATAAAAAATCGGATTTTTATAGTTACTATCTAGATTCTAGATTATCGCACAACTCTTCTGGAAAAAATTGTTTACAAACGACATAGCTGAATGTTGCAAATAGGAACACAACCACAACGTAAAAAAAATCAGTATTAAAAAAGAATTGTGAACCAGGCTACTAAGTGTGGTGTACAATAAACTACCAAGCTGTGCTGAAAATCTTCAGTGTCCAAAATTCTGTAATCATTAAATAAATGACCAGTGAATGAATTTTTCTAACAGCAGCTTCCTCCCTTGACAAATATGTCCATAGAGTTTTAGTGCCACTTCAGCACATGCAGTTGTGGTTCCCAAACATTTCAACCATTATGCCTTCTGTAGGCTTGTTGAACCTTGGGCCACTACACTACGTTGACGTTAGTTTCTCAACATTGGTGTATTTCATCATCTGTAGTGTGTTTCGTCATTTTGCAGACGCCAATCCCAATTGAGCTTGTCATCCAACCTTACTCATAGGTACTTGGATCCATCTTAACCTGAGCTTGATTTTTATGAGGGTTGTTATTCTGATAACATCTAAATTTGTGTTTCCTGTGAACTTAATTGTGATAAATGTGGGAAGATACACTGTTAAACCCTTTCTTGGATTTATGTAACGCTGTTTCTCCACAGCAGACAACGCCCTTGTAAGTTCCAGGGATTTTCCCATGGGTTTGTCCCAAATTAATGTCACATTACCATCTGCATATTCATGAGTAATTCACACCCTGTATTTTTAGTTGGGTCAGAAGTCCATCTTGGCGAATCTTCGACCTTTGTAACAGTAATACACAGAACTGTTTATGCTGCCAAGTATATTGCTCTCCAACCTTCCCTCGACTTATTTTATACCAGCTATCACTACCAGATCATTTTTCTACTGACAAACCAGTACTAGTGTTGTTAAAAAGCTCCATTAATATATAAAAACCAACATATTATTTTCTTACTGGCCAAAGCGTTTTCAATCCTCAATCAATGTGAAACACGAATTCATAAAATTTTCCTACTTAGTTAGTAGGTTAATTTTATTGTACGAGTAAATACCTAAAAAAAAGGTTCTGTACATTCTTCATTTTTTTAGAAGAGGTAGGCCTAAATAGGTCTTGAGCTTTTGGTACTCCATATGATGCTTAGAGGCAATGTATTGAGAACAAAACTAGAAGTTCCCTTGTCGCTGTTATAATCAACCTGATTAACAACACTATGTTAGGACCACACCCTTCTGTTGAAGTACAGGATAGGTGCTATCAGTACTAAGCTGGATCTAACCTTTACATAAGTAATGCATAAGAAACACTCACACCAAACCAGACGTCCTCAGTCGCATGTATGCAAAGCTCATTTTTCCATGTTTCCATCATGATATTGTATTGGAGCTTAAAAGATCCTGGCAAGTAAGTGCTAAGTAAGCAACATATCATCAGGAATTATATGTGTGAGTGTATTATATCATACTCACTGATGATACTACACATGTACAAGGGTTTTCAAGCTAAGACTCAGAGTTTTGATAGAATTATCTTCATGAATCTCTTAGCTTGTGATTACCTTGTTATATTCAGCAAGTGCTTTCGATTACGCACCCCAATTGTCTGTACAGTCTACAGACCTTTTCTCAAAGTTTCCAGTCCGTTGTCCCACCAACAAACTGTCCTATAATACCTCTTAGTTTAGGCCCCATACTGCTTATCTCAGATACCTGTCTTTACAATTCAGATTGACCCTTCATTAACAATACAATGATGGTCATTCTGTAGACTGAAGGAATAGTTTAGTTTTGCATCTAAGAAGAATTTTAAATGTTTGAAAACAATATAGAAATAAATGTTATGTACAGTGTTCCAAATTAAATGTAGACATTTTAAAAAATCACATGAGGTTTATACTGCTTTGCATGGGTTTAATTTTACTCAGTCATGCTGTAGATTTATAAGTTTTGAACCCCCCTTATAAATATCCTTTTTGTAGGTTCTTATTTCTGGTGCAAACATCACAAAGACTGTGTACATACCAACAGCTCTCGATAGAAAACCAGCTTTACCAATACCACCTTCTAAGAGACTAGTAAGTTTTTTGCTGAATACCTTATTCTAGATGTGTATGGATTTTTATGGAAAATCAGGAATCAACAGATATACTGACTAGTAAGTAAAAGACGTTTTGCATTGGTGCCAGTTGGGGCAAGGCCATTGCCACTATCTTAGCATCATATTATCCCAATGAGTACGGATGGATGCATGTATGCGCGTTATCAAGAAATTTACGATTGGCTTTGCTCTGAGATGAGATTTAAAAAACTAGATTGCCTTCGCAAAGGAAACACGCCCCTGTATTGCGGGTATTGCAGATACTTTCTAAAGGCGTTGTTTTTTTTTTCTCGTCTCGAAAAATCTTGGTCAAAATCAAATCTCGTCTTGTAGAATGAGATTTTAAATTTCCCTAGATTTCGAGACCGGTCTATCCCTAGTTTTCTGTAGTTATCTGCATAGTTTGATTACTACTTGTATTTATTTTTCAGATGGTTACAACATTCAACAACCAAGCAGTTCAAGGAGCTCAGAATGCATTAAAGAAAAAACAGGAAGAAAAAAGAAAGGTTTACTTTTACTGATAATACTGTTTCATAGACATACATTCCATAAACAGTCATAATATTCTCAGTTTTAAAATATTCTTTGACTGAAGTTCTGCGTTTTAAATTGCACAAAATTCTAATAGCGTTCTTTTGCTTTTTTAGAATTGATTTTAATTTTTTCTTTTTTGCTGCACCATAAAGTGAAACTCCAAATGATATGATTGAATGTATGTACGAAAAATATATAATTTTTAAAGTTTCCTTTTCACATAGGGGTTTTAATCTTGTTAGCGCATAAAGGCCAGATGAAATTTTAGAAAGTAACTGATCAATATGATGATTCCACTTCAAATTTTCATCAATTTCTAATCCCAAGAATTTGATGTGGTCTTTATTTTGAATTATGTTGTTATTAACTACAATTTTTGGCAGATTTTGCGGTTTAGTTTTTCCTGCTTGGAAACACATAAAAATAGTTTTATCTGTGTTCAAACGCAAATTATTTGAATTAAAAAAACTGTTAAGTAATAATATATCAGAATTGGCCTTGGCTTCAAGTTCAGCATAGGTTCCTGCGGCTATTTTTAATTTTGCATCATCAGCATATAGGCAAAGCTTGCTAAAATCACTGAGTTGAGGAAAATTTCTCAAATAAAAGATTAATAAAAGAGGGCCTAGGATCGATCCTTGGGGCACCCCATATTTTACTTCCCGAGTATGAGAATTGTAAGAAATTTTATAATTTTTGTTATTACAGTGACTCAGTTCTACGTATTGTTTTCTATCAAAAAGATATGACTTGAACCAGTTCAATGAAGTACTATTTAGTCCACTACTACTGAGCTTTGAAAGCAACAACTCATGAGAAATTGAATCAAAAGCTTTACTGAGGTCTATGAACAACCCTACCACTTTAGATTTACTCTCTAAGCTATCAACGATGGATTCAATGAAAGCTGTGGCAGCTGTTATGACAGATCTGCCACTTCGGAATCCATGTTGGCAGTCATCAAATGTACCATTATTTTCAAAGAAGCATACCAGTTGGTTATAAACAACCTTTTCATAGATTTTTGAAATTGAAGGCAGCAAAGCAATCGGTCTATAGTTTGATACTGTTTGTCTGTTTCCTTTTTTGAATAGCGGTTTTAATTTTGTTATTTTGGGTTTGTTAGGGAAAATTCCTGATATCAAAGATGAGTTAATGAGATGAGTTATTGGTTTAAGTAGGACTGATTTAGCTTTTTTAAAAAGAACCACAGGAATACCATCGTAGCCAGCACTATAGGAATTTTTTTGACTTTTAATAATTTTATCAATGTCGCTCTCATCAACAAAGCTAAATTTAAAGCTCCTTTTATCTGAAGCAAGTACAGGATGCAGAGTGTCATCAACATTTTTTTGGAATGTATTTATATTATTGAAAGTTTCATTATAAGTATTATTAACTGTAGGGCTTTTCCATTTGCGTATTATTAACTTTAGGGCTTTTCCATTTGCAAGTAATTATTAAGAAATTTTATATGACTAATCATCAGTGTGTTGAAATATTGGCCCTAAGTAAGGTAATGCAAGAATATTAGTTTTGATTTGCCAGTAAGTACAAAGTTCTTCCAATTCTATCCATTTCCATTTCTTAGAGCACTTTTAAAACATGATTAAATTCTGAATCTTTATTTTTATTTTTTTTATTTATTTTATTTTACCTTCCACAGGGTGTCTAGTAGTCGGGAAAATCGGGAAAGTCGGGAATTAGTATTGAATTTCAAAATGGTCTTGAAAAGTCGGGATTTAGTCTTAAATTTGATTTCAAAGTCGGGAATTTTTATGATTTTGCCGCGATCGTCGTCTTCCGTTTACGTTACCGCGAAAGCCAATGATGATTGTCCTCACGGCCTCCAGGAATGTTCACGATTTTGCCGCGATAGTGGACGACGACGATGACGTTTCCGAAACCACGGCAGACGACGATGACCTTTCCGTGACTGCGGGAGATGACGATGACGTTTCCGTGACCGTGGGAGACGACGATGATATCTGCTCGGCCGTGGGATATGTTCATGATTTTGTCGCGATCGCGGACGACAAAGATGACGTTTCCGTGACCGCGGGAGATGACAATGAAGTTTCCGTGACCGCGGTAGACGACGATGATGTCTACACGGCCGCGGGATATGTTCATGATTTTGCCGCGATCCCGGACGACGACGATGACGTTTCCGAAACCACGGGAGACGACGATGACCTTTCCGTGACCGCTGGGGACGACGATAACGTTATCGTGACCGCGGGAGACGACGAAAACGTTTCCGTGACCACGAGAGGCGACAATGACGTTTTCATGACCTGCGGGAGATGACGATGAAGTTTCCGTGACTGCGGGAGACGATCATATCTGCTCGGCCGCGGGAAATGTTTATGATTTTGTAGCGATCGCGGACGTCGACGATGACGTTTCCGTGACCGTGGGAGATGACGATGACGATGACGTTTCCGTGACCGCGGGCCTACACGGCCACGGGAAATGTTCATGATTTTGCCGTGATCGCGGACGACGACGACAACGTTTCCGTGACCGCGGGAGACGACGGTGATGTCTAAACACCAGCGGGTAATGTTAATGATTTTGCCGCGATCACGGACGACGATGATGACGTTTCCATGACCGCGGGAGATGACGATAAGAATTCCGTGACTGCGGGAGATGACGATGACGTTTCCGTGACCGCCGGAGATGACAATGACGTTTTCGTGACCGCGGTAGATGACGATGACGTTTCCTTGACCGCGGGAGTTTACGATGATATCTGCTCGGCCGCGGGAAATATTCATAAGTTTGTCCCGATCGCGGACCACGAAGATTACGTTTCCGTGACCGCGGGAGATGACGATGAAGTTTCCGTGACCGCGGGAGGCGACGATGAAGTTTCCGTGACCGCGGGAGGCGACAATGAAGTTCCGTGACCGTGGGAGGCGACGATGAAGTTTCTGTGACTGCGGGAGACGACGATGATGTAAACACGGCCGCGGGAAATGTTCATGATTTTCCCGTGATCGCGGACGACGACGATCACGTTTCTGTAACCGCTGCAGTCAATGATGATGTCTAATCGTACGGTACGCGGAAGATTTCATGATAAAAAAAACCAAATTTGCTAGTTAGAATTTGTTATTGCTGCATTATTTCTTTACTTGAAAACACCAAATTATCATTTATTTATTTATTTTTTATTTATTAAACATCATCACATTACATCAATTCTCTTGACAGGTGATTTGTCACAAAGTCTAATACTAATACTATACTACATTTTAAAATAAAATAGCTTACAAAAGAAATAAAGCATATAATAAGCTACAAACCTATGGGAGAAGCAATATCTTTCAAATATACTCATTTTCCAGATATTCCTCTAACGAGTAAAATGCCCTTTCCAAAAGGAAATTTTTTAAAGATAGTTTAAATTTAGAGAATGAGGCAATGTTTTTAATCCCAGTGGGTAATCATAATACTACTTTATGACAAAGACAAAGAGTTGGTGTAGTATTATTTAGAAAATTTGGTTAAGCTATAAAAATTTGTATCGGTATCAAGAATCGAGAATCGATACATTTTGGTATTAACACCCACTAATTGTGGAAAAAACTAGTCTTGAAAAATCTGGAATTAGTCTTGAAAAGTCTGGAATTAGTCTTGAATTTTATAATGGAAATAAACTAGACACCCTGCTTCCAACAGCCAAGAACCAATTTATAATGGTATACAATGATGACTTATTCTAACTTAAACATTAGGCCTACATACAAATATAATATTTTTTTAAGATTACATACAATACAAATAAATACAATCTGAGCTATAACAAGATATGAGAACAACGGGCTTGACTGTAGTATTAACAAAAAATAGCTCAGTTACATCAGGTACAAAGCATATTAAATAAAAATTTTCAAATCAAATCAATAAATAAACCAATGAACATGAACAACAAACAAGAAGTATAAATAAATATATAAATGTTCAATAATGACAATAAATATATGCATTATTAACAATAACAAAGATAACAAGATAGGTACAAAATATATATATTGGATTAAAACAAAGAAATTAGGAGTGATTGTGGATGGTAACTACGATGAGCGGCGGAAGTCAGCCAGTACCCTCTTCTGGATTGTTGTTTGGCTGTCGAGACTGGCACAGAAGACATTCTCATTACGAAGCATACTTGCAACTACACAAGTATTACAACTACAACTTGTATACAACTATTACAAGTATTACAACTACGCTCTATGTAGTATACGTCCACTAACCTGTTACTCATTTACTAGACTGCTTGCCTCCGACGTCCGGCTGTGACTTCAGCTGTTGTCATCAGTGGTCAGTGTATCCAATTCATAAACTTAAATTCCTCTTGCTACTTTAATTAATATAATATACTACACTCGCCCCAACTTAAAATCAAACTCTTCCTTTAATAGGCCTAAGCCTAATACCAAAAATCCTTAAAACCAATTTCAAAGTTCATAGTTAATATCATTTAACATAACATTTTCTTCAAATAACTCAAATAAAAATTACTTCTTCAGTTAAACACAGTTGACTGTTTACTTAAAGATCAAGCCTCCTCGGCCTACAAACGGTTCATTGAGACCGTCTAAGAAGTGGCGGGCCTGGCTGCACTGCATGTCTTTCTTCGAGTCTTGGTAGAGGGCTAGATGCTTTTGGCAGGCTTCGCCTCTGATGTGAGGGCATTATCGCCGCTGGCTGAGGGCTAGGTATCTGCACTGGTGAAATAGGCCTTTCCGGAGGTGATGCCTTGACTGGTGATGGCTGTGGAGTTCGCCTATCCGCCAAAGTCTCCTCTTCATCTCCCAGAAGACTGGAACGCAGATGGTCCGCATGACAGAACTGGACCTTGCCTAACACACTTACAACATAAGTCGCAGGGCTTCTTTGCTCCATCACTCTTCCCGGAATCCAGGACACATGCTCCCCTCTGACCGTCTTCAAACAC